CTCCACGGCCCAGACCCGCCGTGACGCGCGCAGCGGGACGGCCTCCGCGCCTGCCTGAGCTGCCCCACGTGGCGGAGGGACGACGCATCCCTGCCGGTTCCTCCGGCTCCCTTGCAGAAGCATCTTGCAGCGCCACTTCCAGCACCGCGGTCCCCGGGACGGACGGCTCCAGGAGCGCGTGGAGGGCCAAGGGGCCGGCTGTCCTTTGGAGGCAGCCTCCCTCCCCCTGCCCCTGGCTGTCCGGCACGTCCCTTGCTTCTCAGCCTCAGCTTTAAAAGCCAGTGGCTGAAGGTGGGGGCTTCCCACTGGACCCCGAGCCCTGGGCAAGGCCCCGAGCCCCCCGAGCTCTCGTGCAGTGGCTGGGGGTAGGCGGGGAGGTGACAAGCTGTGCCTGGAGAGGCCTCGAGTCCCAGGTTTTGTATGAAACCTGTGCAACCCCGTGGTCTGTCTCTGAGCTGGGCTGCAGCTCTCCCCATCTGCTCCCCGGTTCCTGGGGCTCTGCCCTGGTGTCTGCACCCCAGGCTCCGCGGCGAGCGAGCTGCAGGGCCTGCGTCGCAGGCGGGCGCTCCTGGGACTCCCTGCTGCAGCCGCTTGCCCAAGAGCCGGGAGGAACCGACAGGGCAGAGCGGAAGAGCCCTTTCCTCCTTCCCCGAACACCGCTGACTGCGGCTTCAGCTGCAGCCAACGCTTCCCCTCCCCTGTCGGGCCAGCCGGGCCCCCTCTCCTGGGGCTCGGAGCCCCCCAGCCTCCTGCCTGCAGCCGCCGGGGCGCCCTGGGCGAGCGGGGCGCAGGCAGGGTTGACCCGTGCACCAGTCCCGGTGACCAGGGGGAGGGAAGGGAAGGGAAGGGGCTGCCACATGCTCGGAGCAACGGGGAAGTGGTTTCCTACTTCTGCTGCCGTTCTGCTGTTCTGGAGCAGGGCTGAGGGAGGCCCTTGCTCCCACGCAGGCCGTTGCCTCCCCGGCCGCATCCGTTTTGCAGGCAGAAGCTGGGGGTGTGAAGCTGATGCTGCGAGTGATTAGGAAGCCTCTGCACCTGCAAGCTGCATCCCGGGCACATGGAGACCGTGCTGTGTGGGGGCTACTCTGCGCCATGTCCTCTATGGCCAGCACGAAGCGGGGCCCCAAAACGACTCCCCAGACCCCGCAGCTGCTGCTCCTTCCACCCTCGGCTCCTGGAGCTGGGCAGTGGCGAGCGCTGCAGACCCCTCCCAGGGGCGCCAGGGCTCGTGCCCTCTCCCTGGCCCAGGCTGGAGCCGGCACTGTTGCATCCTCGGTGCCATGTCTACCTGTGCCACTGCCTGCCTGCCTCTGCTATGCCCAAGCCTGTGGCGCTGCCCTTGGTGCCAGCAGGGAGAGGAGCTTGCAGCACTGAGGTCCACCCCAACGGGCTGCCGGAGGGGCAGATCACAGCACCCGAAGGCCTGAGCCCCCGTGCGCGGGTGCACGGGGGTCACGCGCCTCGCGGGCTCCTCGGGACGCGCCGGGGCGTTGCATCACAGGCCTGTGGCCTTTGCAAGCGTGCTACGGGAGGACAGCGAGTTTTACGGCCACGGCTGGCTGGGCCTTAAATCACCCACCCCAGCAGCCGGCGCCGCGCGGAGGAAAACATCCGGCCGGAGCGCGCTTTGATGCTCCCCGGCTCCAGGCCCCGTGCGTCCCTTGTGGGCAGGAAACGTAAA